ACTATATGAATTATTCATCAATAATGGATATAGTAATACCACATTCAACAAGACACTTCAACGCATTCAAAACGCGTCAGCCAACTCATCACTATCTACAACTTTTACCCCTTGTTCTAAAACGGCTTATCGACTTCTTGAGAAGAATTCTAAGAAGAGAGTAAACCTACAGCCATTGGTCTTGTTTAACAAAATCTGCCATATACATATATATATATTACTACAAACCTTTAAGAAAACTGCAAAAATCTACTTATGATGGCATACATAGAATTATAAATTGCTCTTGATACATGGAAAGGAACATCATTACTGTACATACAAAAGTGTATAGATGAAAGAAAACTTTTGAAAAAATGTTTCTGTAAAAAAAACTAATAATACTGAGAAAAAAATGGATTAGTTTTAGAAAATATTATTTTAAAATTAAAAGTAATCACAAATGGAGAGATATTATCATCTAAGTTATTTTTTAGTTTTTAGAGAAACTGTAAAAGGAATATAGCAGAAATCATTCAAACATTTATCCAAGTACATAAACAATACTTTCATAACTAATTTATTTTGACATATTTTATGACATTATAACATGGAAAATAAATTGACTGTAGTAATTTCAGCAGTGTTGGTTGTGTACTAATTAAAAGTTTAACAGCACTAGTGTTATATTCTTTGAAGTGTTTTATACAGAGAAACTCATTACAGAGTTTACCTTTCATCTGTACTTTACTGATTTTAAGGCAGTGTCTGTATCTCTTCCTTTGACTTCACTAAAAGTGTTGGGTAATGTCTGCGAAGAGTTTTTCATACAGTAGAATAGTACTTTATGTGTTGGTCATTCAAGTACACCCCCATCTTCCATAAACTTGTAGTCCACAATTAACTGAGATTTTGTAACTTCAGTATCCCTCTGTCTTCTTGTCACAGTTGTCATACTACTAGAGTGGAAAGTGGTTAGGGTACAAATGTCTCATTGTCAGTCCATTTTATAGCTGTCAAAGTTCCACATTTAAAAAATCATGCTTCCCCTTTCTGTAAGTTTGTTTCAACCATTTCTTGTGTGAAATACAGTCTGACTTTCTTCTATGTTCCAACAAGTGCAAGTTCCAACAACCAGTAATTTGCCAAATAAATGAACGGAAGTGTAAAAGTTGTCTAAAAAAATCCTGTGGTGTAGTCCATTATAGTTGTCTGTTAGTCCCATCACAATGTTGTCTGCAAGACCCCTAGCTGGGATGTCTCCCTCTTTGCACCTGTATATTTTAAACTTAAGACAGAATCCAGTCAAGGCTTCTGCCAGGACCCACAACTTGATACCCCACTTAACAGGTTTCTTAGGTAGATACTGGAGGAAACTAATTCTACATTTTGAACCCAACATTTGTTCACCTGTGGATAGTTCCCTGTCAGGAGTGTAATTGGATACAAAGAATTTTAGAAAAAGGCCTATAATAGGTTTTACTTTGAAATGTTTATCATAGTTAGGAGCAGTTTTAGGAAGAACAGTGCTATTGTTATTGAAATATAAATCTATGAATAGCATAAAGCACTGAACAAAGGTAGTTGTCTCAGATTTTGGTACAGGAATTCTCCTACTGTGGAAATTGTTGGTCAGTTTTGCTTATGCAACAGGCAAATTGCAGTTCTTCAACAAAACCATCTAGTACCAACCAGCTTAAGACCAAGAACAGTGGACTGCATATGTACACATTGAAAAGGTTGTGTTAGTTCCCCTTAATGTGCAGGAAATGTCCTTTGGTGTACTACAGACACAGTATAATGTGTTGTCACCTTATACTACAGTGATAGAATCCAATGCATAAAGTACACTATTTTCTGTTTGTAAAGAAGGCTGCACTTGTCTGATCAATAACCTGTCTGAAGCAGGTGTTCTATTAGAGCTAAACTGTAAATGTGTGTATTATGCTATTCAGTTTCCAGATGTAATGGTTGTCAGAACAGTAAAAAGAGATAGACTAGCTGTATTACTGGTTTTGCAGTTGCTATGCGATGTCCTAGAATGAACTCGCAGCTTCTAGAGTTCCTGAAGTCCTTTGTATAGGATTGTAGAAACAATTTGAACTGAACACGGCGAAATTATTTTAGTGAATTTCTCAAGGATATTGCTGATGTGTATGTGGGACCAGATGGCTAATTGGGTTGTACAACAGTCAAATGTCATCACATAGCTACAGGTGGCTCACATCTGATAAAATTCAGATAGAAAGTGGTAGATTACCCTCTGGAGAAAATTGACCTTGATACAGCTGTTCCTCTACCCAGAAATGAAAAAAGTAATTGATATATACTTATTAATGTTGATTATTTTATGTGTGCTGATGTTTATCCATTGGTTGACACAGTACAGCGTGTCACAGATGTGTTGGGTGCACGATGGATTTCTTTCTTTGGTGCACCTGGAGAGATCCACATGGGTCAAGGAACTAATTTTAGCAGTCAGTTGTTTATGGAGTTGTGTCAAGTATTAGGAGTGGTGAAGATGCATATTTCACTGTATCATCCTCAGTCTAATGGTTTGGCTAAAATGACAGTTCAGACAGTCAAGTGTATGCTTGGTAAGCTTGGTAACCTGACTGAACTGACAGGAATAAACACCTACTGTATGTCATGATTGTATATTTTACAACTTAGCAACAGTCAGCTGGTTTTCCTCCACTTATTACAGAGGATAACATGGTACCTGCAGGAATATGTGAAATGGCTACATTCTGTAATAGTCAACATGCATGAATTTGCAAAGAAGCAGATAGATAAAGTGGTTGTACGTCAATTGTGTCGTGACATCTTAGTGGCACATGGATTCACCATGAGTGACATAAAATGTGGTGTGCCCAAAACATCTGTTACTAACTGGCCTATTCAAGAAAGGGATGTGTCATATCCTGATTGATCATAACATATAACCTTACAGTGCTGACTGAATTTCTGACCTATCACAGTTTGGTGTTAACTTGGGGTTTTCAATTCTGACTTTTGTTATAAAAACCCATGATTCTGGACTGCTGCCCATTTCATTAGAAATTAGTGTGCATGAATATATATTGTTACGACAGCGGTAGTCACGTGACGCTGGTAATACGTCATGATATTCTAGAAGATTCAAGAAGAAATGAGATGTACGCTTTTTGTATATATAAGACCAGTAAGAAGTGACGGCAGAGATAGATACGGACAGTTGAGTCAAGCGCGTTAGTCGTTCATTGTGAATTATAGTGTTTGTTATAGCGTGACTGTGGAAATTAAGTGTATTGCAAAGTTGTATTAAGAAAGAATAAACTAGTTTATTTAAGAAGAACT